GCTCTTAGCCCCGTCCGGCACGAAAAGAGGTGTGTCCCAGGCTGCTGTAACCGGGCAGGAGAGAACGTTGCGAACGTGCAGTCGCTCGCGATTGGCCCAACCCGTTCTCCCGACTGCCCAGTCAGCGGCAGGGGAGCGAACGAGCCGAGGGATGAGCGTGGGCAAGGGGCGGAGCTTCCCCTTGACCTGACTATTTAAGGGCGGAACAGGGGGCTGGGAACGCAGTGCCAGGGAAAGGGTAGAGGAGGGAAGGGGTGCGCAATACTTTAGAGTGGCCGTCTTTTTTTTATTTTTTTACGCGTTGTTGCGGCTCGGGGTTCCTGCCGCTACTTCGGAGGCGCTTTTTTGCACACTCTCGCCACGCGACAGGCGTCCTGCAAGCTGGTAAGCATCTGCATTTCAGTCCTCTTTCGGGGAGGGGGCGGCGAGCACGGCTTCGCGGGGTCCCTCGAGGCTGCCGTGTTTCTGCGCGGATCCCCGCAACTCCTGAACGCGACCCCGTGGAGTTGACGGTCCCTCCTCTCTTCTCCTCCCCCCAGAGTCGTTTCTCCGACCGCCGATTCCAGCGACCCGCCTGCAAGCCCGGTGCTCGGTCGAGCTCGGTGGGGAGGAAGATGCCGGTGTCTTGGGAGAGCTTCTCTTCGTTGCCCCCCATTCCGGAGCAGAGAGAGAATCCGGCGCCCGCCTTCTCCTGGGAGAAGAGCGCCTACCAAGAAGCAGCGACTCGTGCAGCCAGGCTGGAGAACTCCGACTGCGAGTCCCTGGACAGCAGCTTGAGCTCCGAAGGAGGTGAGACGGCCGCGTGTGCGCGCCTGCGCGCCCTCGCCCTGGTCTGGCACCTTCTAGAGGGGCTGGACTACAACTCCCATTGTGTGCAACGAGCAAGTTGGTTACGGATCAGCTCTGAACCAAAAGTTCCTGGTGTTTTTATGGGGAGCTCTAAGGAGGAAGCCAGCAACGAAGAAAACCCCTTCTGGGCTTTCTGTTGTGTTGCTTTTAGGGATCTCACAGCTTCAGCCGAAAAGGGGCAGCTGTGGTGTTAATTTGCTCCGTGCTGCTGTTATGCTAGTTGAATTCTCTTCGTCGGGGAGGGGAGCGTTTGTATGTGTGTGCATAAGACTCACAGCCTGCTTTAATTTGATTTTAGATGCCCAGGAATATCTGGATGAGGTGTCCTTGCCAGACTTCGATTTGTTAAACGATCCTGAGGATGAGCTCTTGTGCGCCAATCTCATGAAGCTCATCCAAGTCACTCTGAACAAAGCGAAGATCTATTCCAACCGTCCCTCCCGACTCTACATGCCCGATGAGCTGGTCACCCAAGTGAGCAAGGAGTTGCTTCACCTGGCTTACAGAGAGCCCTGCGGCTTGAGGGGAGCCCTCATTGACCTGTGTGTGGAACAAGGAAAGGGGTGCCACAGTGTGGGGCAGATCGCTGTGGATCCAAGCCTGGTGCCTACCTTCCAGCTGACTCTTGTTCTGAGACTCGATTCCCGCCTGTGGCCTAAAATCCAGGGACTCTTTAGCTCAGGCTCGGCTTTCTCTCCAGGCTTCAGCCAGTCGCTGAAGCTCAGCACAGGCTTTAGGGTCATCAAAAAGAAGCTGTATAGCTCTGAACAGTTGCTCATAGAGGAATGTTGAAAGTGTCATCTTCCTCTTATGTTGGATCAACTGAGTATTTACTGAGTTGGGGCCATTCCCAGCCAAAACTGGGGAGGTATGTTACTTAAAGGGCTATGGAACATAAGCTGATTTTCAAGAGGTGGTGTCTCTCTGGAGCCACAGTAGGTTAGATTAGATGGAAGTTTGATTTACAGCAATAGCAGGAGGTAGTCCGAAGAAGAGGCAGAAGGCAACGTTTGACAGTAAGAACAGCACTCTGCTACTTAATCTGACCAGCAACAAAGCTCACTCCTGTGTAGGCCTGGATACACTATGCTAGCTTTAAAATCCTTGTCTGCTGGTGGGATGACTTTCTCTTACTGATCTAGCAGTATTTTTTTTTCCTGACAGCTGATAATTTTACAGCAGCAGGGCTGCCACTAAAGATAGATGAAGGTTGCCTTTTTTTCCTGTTGTTAAGCTTTTTTTAAAAAAAAAAACAAATGGGAGAAAAAAGTAGATAGTAATCAATGGATGTCTGGTGAAAGTTGAGGTGTGTGAATAAGTGTTAATAAGTGTTAAGGTCTAAGGGACCAAGCATGTGTAACAATACAGATGGATGTGAAGAAGTTCCACTACTGACACTAGGGCAGCTAAAAGGAGGCAGCTAAATTTAGACTTCTGGCTG